GAAATAGGAATGCAGGATCATTAATTATAGACAGGTGACAAACTGTCTTAATAGAAACACTCCATTCATCATTGTTCTGCAGCAATATTTTTGACTCCTGCTAGGTTCATGTGGGTTTTGTAACTGCAATCTTCACTTAGAATTGAGTGACTTGTTGTCCCAGCAACTTAAACCAACAAGTATTGTTTGGAAAACTGACTTATTTAACCCCTTAAGGACCGAGGACGGTTCAGGACCGTCATCGGCATTTTCCCATTGCCGACAGCTGACGGTCCTGAACCGTCCTAACGGTCCTAGTTACTTACCTGATCGCCGTCGTTCCCCCGGCAGCTTTCAGCGTTGCTCCCGGTGTGGGGAGACTGCCTGCAGCCCAGACAGTCTCCCCACACCGGATTAGGACCCCTGTGGCCATGTGATCGCTTAACACAGCGATCACATGGTCACAATAGGTGTCCATATGTCTGCCTGCAGGGGGAATGCCTGTGCTGACAGGCAGTCTCCCTGCTAGTGTAAAATCAGTAAAAAAAAATAAAGTTAATGTTAATTAAAAATAAAAAAAATGATATATGTGTATATATATATATATATATATATTATTATAAAATATAATGTACAGGTTTTATAGTATTTTTTAAAGTTACAGGGTCAAATATATGTGTCAAATATTTTTACATTGAAAAATGCCAGGTTGGTTACGTTGCCTTTGAGAGCGTATGGTAGCCCAGGAATGAGAATTACCTCCCTGATGGCATACCATTTGCAAAAGAAGACAACCCAAGGTATTGCAAATGGGGTATGTCCAGTCTTTTTTAGTAACCACTTGGTCACAAACACTGGCCAAAATTAGCGTTCAATTTATTTTTTTTACTTTTTTAACACACAAACAAATATGAATGCTTACTTTGGACAGTGTTTTCGACTAAGTGGCTACTAAAAAAGTCTGGACATACTCCATATTGAATACCCTGGGTTGTCTACTTTAAAAAAAATATGTACATGTGGGGTGTTATTCAGAGATTTATGACAGATAATATTGTTACAATGTCACTATTGATAAATTTTAAAAATGTATGTTTTGAAACCGCAATATCCTACTTGTACCTATAGCCCTATAACATGCAAAAAAAAGCAAAAAAGCACGTAAACACTAGGTATTTTTAAACTCAGGACAAAATTTTTAATCTATTTAGCAGTTTTTTTAATTCGCTTTTGTAGATGAGTAAAAGATTTTTCAAGTAAAAGTCAAAAAACATGTATTTTTTTAAATTTTTCATCATATTTTTTTATTTTTTTTAAATTAAAATACATGAGATTATATAAATAATGGTATGTAAAGAAAGCCCCTTTTGTCCTGAAAAAAACAATATATAATTTGTATGGGAACAGTAAATGAGAGAGCGGAAAATTACAGCCAAACACAAACACCACAAAAGTGTAAAAATATGCCTGGTCGCAAATGTACAACATCGCAAAAACAGTCCAGTCCTTAACCCCTTAAGGACGGAGCCAAATGTACACATTGTGAACAAAACAAAATGTAAACAAAACCTGGCATTTGCGCTACATGTCTGTCCAACCGTAATACACCTCTTTCATAGTAAATGCACCCACCCTTATTATATATCATTTTATTCAGGGGAAACAGGGCTTTCATTTAATATTAAATATTTAGCTATGAAACATAATTTAATATGAAAAAAATGGGAGAAAATACGTTTTTTTTGGATTTTTTTAGTTCTACATGACATTTTAACGGTCAGTGTCATAATACTGTTTGCTTTTACTGCAATAAAATACACATATTTATATTCAGTAAAGTCTCACGTGTAAGACAGTACCTCCTATGTACAGGTTTTATGGCGTTTTGGGAAGTTACAGGGTCAAATATAGCACGTTACATTTGAAATTGAAATTCGCCAGATTGGTTACGTTGCCTTTGAGATTGTATAGTAGCCCGGGAATGAAATTTACACCCATAATGGCATACCATTTGCAATAGTAGACAACCCAAGGTATTGCAAATGGGGTATGTCCAGTCTTTTTTAGTAGCCATTTGGTCACAAACACTGACCAAAGTTAGCGTTAGTATTTGTTTGTGTGTGAAAAATGCAAAAAATGCCAATTTTGGCCAGTGTTTGTGACTAAGTGGCTACTAAAGACTGGACATACCACGTTTGCAATACCTTTGGTTGTCTACTATTGCAAATGGTATGCCATCATAGGGGTAATTTTCATTCTTGGGCTACCACAGAGTCTCAAAGGCATCGTACCCAATCTGGCAAATTTTAATGTGAAAAACTGAAACACAAGCCTTATATTTGACGCTGTAACTTTTGAAAACACCATAAAACCTGTACATGAGGGGTACTGTTGTACTCGGGAGATTTCGCTGAACACAAATATTTGTGTTTCAAAACAGTAAAAAGTATCACAGCAATAATATTGTCCGTGTAATGCTGTTTGTGCGTGAAAAATGCAAAAAACTTCACTTTTATTGGCGATATCATCGTTGTAATACATTTTACTGATTTGAAACACTAATATTTGTGTTCAGCGAAGTCTCCCGAGTAGAACAGTAACCCCCATGTACAGGTTTTATGGTGTCTCGGAAAGTTATAGGGTTAAATATAGTGCTAGCAAATTAAATTCCCTTTACTTTCGGCATGGGTTGTCAGGCAGGTCCTGCTAATTGTAATTAATTAAGATACCTAATTATGTAAAAATATTACATAAATATATATGTAGAATTAATATATGTATATATATACGTATGTATATATATGTATATATCTATATAATTTTTTAAAAATATTTTTATTTATATATAGGTATATATATAGTGATATATACGTATATATTTATGCATATAGATATATATATTATTTCGTTCTACGTGTATTTTGATATATATATATATATATTAATTTCACAAAACAGTTAGAACGAAATAACACACATCTATATATTTTTTAATTATTTATTTTTAATTATTTTTTTAATTTTATTTTTTAACGTATTTACATTTTTATTTTTTTAATATTATATATAAATATATATATATAACAATAATTATATATATATTTAATCAGTATCAGTCTACGTGTAATTTGATATTAATATATATATATATATATATATATATAATTATACATATATTAATAGTAAACTACACCTAGACGGTGTATGTGTGTGTATGTATATGTGTATATATATACTTAGATCATATATATATAATATATACATATGATCTAAGTATATATTATTTATTTTTTACACTGATTAACTTTTTTTAATTTTATTTTCAGCCAGCAGGGGGACCACCTGTAATTACAGGCAGCCCCCCTGCCGGCAATACAGAAGCCAGCTATCCCCGGCCATGTGATTGTGGGGTCCTCGCTAGGACCCCACTCTCACATGGCCGGGGGGCTTCGACGAGGACGGACGTGCCGCGGGGGGCTCCCTGGAAGTCCCCCCAACCGCGATCGCCGGCGTGGGACCGCCGGCGACCGGGTAAGTTAACAAAAACCGGAGGGCGTACAATTACGCCCGGCGGCGTTTAAAGCCTATTAGATTAATTGTACGTCCTCCGGTTTTAAGGGGTTAAGGGGTTAATCAAATTATTAAGTACAGTTGTTAAATAAACGATGTTATTTTCTATTTTATGGTAGTAATAAATAAAATGAATAATATTGGGGAAGAAAAAAATGACACAAATATATTTGTCTCCTAAGTGTGGCCTTTTTCAAGTCATTTAAGAAATACTAAAGCAAGACTTGATTGTGTTTAAATAGACATACAAAAAAGGCAAAATGTATCCTTAAAGGAACACTTTAGTGTTAGGAACACAAATGTGTACTCCTGGCACTATAGTAGTAAAAACAGAGTCTAGATGCCCTGTACTTCTTGCCTCCCTTTGAAAAGGTGTCTAAATTCACAATTTTTCCAGTGCCGTTCTGATCTTGTTGCAGGTGGCCCCACCCCCTCTCCGCTTCCTTGGCTGAGCTCATCAAATGTGACGATCTTAGCCAGTCTAATGCTTTCCCATAGTACAGCATTTGGAGACTATTGCGCATGTGCTAAGCCAATCAGCATCTGCTCATGAAGATGAATTGAATCAATGCATTTCTTTGGGGACCATTCAGTGTCTCCTTGCAGAGCGTGGAGGTGCTGAATATCATTGCTGCACCTCTGGTGTCTGTCTGACTGACTGCTACTAGAGGTGTTACTAGACAGTAATGTTAACGCTGCCTTTTCTCTGAAAAGACAGTGTTTACATTAAAAATCCTGCAGGGACTGACTATACTCACCAAAACAACTACATTAAGTTATAGTCTGGTGACTATAGTGTCCTTTTAATCCTTTGTAAATCACTGAATCACTTCAGTAAAGTAAAGTAATTATATAAATAATGAAATGCAGACAAACTTCCCAGGTTTACTGTGCATTTATTAATTTAGTAGATATAAAACTGCATGATTTATTCAAACTTTCTAGATTGTCACAAAAATAATAAACACTAAAGTTGTGGTATGACTAGGGCTGCATAAACAAAGTGACTTAAAAAATTATCTTTTATTTCTACCTTAGATTCTTTCTTAGATCCTTACAAACTGAACATTTCATTTCTGCTTACTGTCATTTCAAGTCTATAGTTAAAATTCTATTCCAGAAATTCAGTGAAGGGTTTGTAGCGCTAGAGGGAACACCTTAGGTTTTGATACCTACATATCTTTGTACTTTGCAATGTATTTTATTAGGATACTGTATTTTCAATACAAGCATCACTTTATATATGCAAGAGGTTGGTGTCACACTATAGTTGCTCATTCCAAAAGCTAGCTAAGTGTTTTACCTCTCCATGGTGCAAGCTTGTAAGCTTGGATGGTAATTCAAGTACATGTGAATTATTGTAAATAGTGATGTCCCGAACTGTTCGCCGAACGGTTCGCCACGGACGGCGAACATATGCGGTAAACTTTGACCCTGTACCTCACAGTCAGCAGACACATTCCAGCCAATCAGCAGCAGACCCTCCCTCCCAGACCCTCCCACTTTCTGGACAGCTCACTAAGAATGCAGCTTCAAAATGAATGTAAAATGGATGCTGTGCAGGAGGTGGGAGGATCAGGGAGGGAGGGTTTGCTGCTGATTGGCTGGAATGTGTCTGCTGACTGTGAGGTACAGGGTCAAAGTTTACTGCATATGTTCGCCGTCCGCTGCGAACAGTTCGGCGAACAGTTCGGGACATCACTAATTGTAAACTTCTAAAAATTCATTTATAACCCCAGCAAAGGGGTTAAACTCTGTATGCGCAGCGTTTCATATCAAAACACTGCACATACAGAGTTCAGGCATCATAACCACTTCAAATCACTGAGGTGGTCATGGTGAATGGAGTAACCCTTTAATGAAAATGGAATTAGAAATTCTAAAAGATTGCATTGACTAGCTAATGGATTTCTCCCGTGCAGCTTCACAATGAATGTAAAATGGATGCTGTCCAGGAGGTGGGAGGGTCTGGGAGGGAGGGTCTGCTGCTGATTGGCTGCCATGTGTCTGCTGACTGTGAGGTACAGGGTCAAAGTTTACAGCACTTAGAAACATAGAAACAAAGAATGTGATGGCAGATAAGAGCCGTTTGGCCCATTTAGTCTGCCCAATTTTCTAAATACCTTCATTAGTCACTGGCCTTATCTTATAGCTAGGATAGCCTTATACCTATTCCATGCATGCTTAAAGTCTTAAATATGCATGCTTAAGTATAGTCTCCTCCTTTACTGTGTTGATTCCCTTTATATATTTAAATGTTTCTATCATATGCCCCCTGTCTTGTCTTTCCTCCAAGCTATACATGTTAAGATCCTTTAACCTTTCCTGGTAAGTTATATCCTGCAATCCATGAACCAGTTTAGTAGCTCTTCTCTGAACTCTTTCCAAAGTACTTTACATGTGCTTCCCAATAGCATGAAGAAGGCACATGTGTCCAGGACAACATGATGTATATGGCACCCCAAGTTATGCATTATCATGTAATTGTATATAAATATATAAACTCTAAGCATTTGTTTATGAGCTCATATCTGCATTTATTTTAAAGCTCAATATGTCTGATTACATTATACATTGTCACATAAACACATGCAGAATAAACAAGGATCCCTTTAAAATCATTCTTAAAGTTCACAATGTTATCTGGATTCATACCTTGTCAACGACTCTCTCAGAAAACGAGACTAGGACTGAGTCTATATTTGTTCATTTCTATTAATGGACTTCTACCAGATCTTTAAAATACATACATTTTATATGAGGTGTCAGGACTAATCTGGCTATTACTGTAAAGCATTAACACAGAATGCTTAAATAATTTAATTATCCTACTAAAAATAATGTCAATGAAAAAAGGACTTCACTATCTGAAGATGAAATGTGCATTCAACAGAATGAAAATGGTTTGTCTTTATTCTTTACAATTCCTTAATTCTAACACTTTTTATACTTAATTATGCACAAATTGTTATACACGATTTCATTTTGGTTGCAAAGGGTAATTACAAGTTACCTACAAAGTATACATGCTGAGTGGGGTGACTCTCCAATTCCAAAAAGCATCACTGCAGCCATAGTTAACATCAATCACAAATAGAACATATAACAAAGACAAAATAAAATTATACTTATCATTTAAAGTGTGTGAATCAATATTTACTAACAGTTATATTAATTTGGATTAAAAATTAACATGTTTACTATAACACAGAGACAATATTATTTATTACATACAAAATTAAATCTGACAGATATCAAATATATTTCTTGCCTGTGTTTATATATTTCCTCTGACTTGAAGATGTTGAAAGATTGTGAATTTTTATATTCCCATATTTCAGCTTCTTCTAAAGGCATGTGTGGACAACCTCCCATTTACAGGGGAAGTATTAACATGGGACAGGGGGTGGATCTAAGTTGATGGATATGCAATGACATATTAAAGGGCAGATCCACTCAATAAAGGGGTCGGTCTGTTTAGAAAAGGGGAGTGTCCCACCTGAAAAGGGAACATGTCATGCATATTCTATTTATTGGTAGCTGCACTAACCAGCCCTAAATAGGGCTGCTGCTGTTTGCAGAATGCTGTTAAAGTACCCTTAAAGACACAATATAGTCAACAGAACAACTACAGCTCAATGTAGTTGTTCTGGTGATTATAGTCAGTCCCTGCAGTCTTTTTGCTGTAAACACTGTCTTTTCAGAGAAAAGGCAGTGTTTACATTGCTCCCTATGGACACCTTCAGTGGCAGTCACTCAGATGGCCACTGTAAGTGCTTCTTGGGGCAGTGCTGCACAGTGTGCAGTGTGCAGCACTGACGTTCAGCGTCTCCAAGATCTGCATGGAGACACCGAGGTATTGATTCAATGCATCTCTATGAGGAGATGCTTATTGACCAAGTTGACTTTTAGCCCCGCCCATGCCCATCCTCCTCGATGATCTCAATTCATATGATATCAGCCAAGAAGGTGGATTGTGGGCGTTTCAAGCCACCTAAATGATGGTTTTAACACTATAGGGTCAGGAATACACTTTCTATTAGTGACCCTATAGTGGTCCTTTAATGTCTAGAGTGCATGCTAAATAGCAGAAATACATCTAATAATGTACTTGCCTGGTGTTGCTTGGGACAATTACCAGATGGCCTTCAGAAATGAGTCACCTGGAAAGACATCCCGGACAGTAGGACAAAAGTCCCAAAATGAGACTACACCACCGAACCTGGAACTGTTAGGAGGTATAGAATGACACGGTTTAACCAAGTTGAAATTATACAAAGCAAAAACACAGGCATATTCCACTGTAAAGGAAAATAAAAATGCATCAAACTCCTTTTCCGTTACTTTAAGTTATGCAACCAACATCTACTGTTCTTATCCCAGCCCCATCACAAGTCATTGACATGAATCTGCCACCTCAATGCCAGCCAAGTCTTCTATAAATAGCACCAACATTCCGCTCCTTTGTTTCATAAATATGAATATGTATATTTTATGTAATTAGCATTAATAATGTGCTCTATTTTTATGTATTCTTTTCAAAGCAAAACAGATATCTAATGTGTGTGATCAGCATTTAAAAAAATAATTTTATGTATAATCTGGTGTCTAACTGTGCGCCCATCACACGTGCAATATAATCAGCTGAAATAAGAGTTGTATGCTCTTCACTGATTCCCAAATTATTTACTCAGTAGTGTATATCTAAACGTGGAATTGTGAACAAATGGCAAAAGAATTGCACATTTTCGGATGTAATTGATGAATCACCTACAGTTAGATCTGGAAATAGTTGGACACTGACACAAGTTTTGTTATTTTGTCTGTTTACCCAAAAGAATTCAAGCTACAGTAAAATAATAAGTATGGGCTTAAAGTTCTCTCAGCTTTAATTTGAGGGTATTCACATCCAAAGGTGGAAGGGTTTAGGAATTATACCTCTTTAATATATAGCCCCCATTTTACAAGGGACTAAAGGTAAATGACTCAAAAGCCGCTTCATGGACAAGTGTTGGCTATTCTTTCATTATTTCTTCATCAGTTAAGCAGGTAAAAAAATCTCGATTTGATTCCATTTGCAAGCTGTTGCTGTGAATCCACAACATGAGTGGCCAAATGAACAATTTGATACATTCTGAGAAAATAAAAAGGCACTGGTAAGCTCTGCAACACAAAAAAAATCCATGATATCCATGGAAAACAACAGTGATAGACTATTGTAGAATTCTATCCATGGTAAAGAAAAACCCCTTCACAACATCCAGTCAAGCGAAGAACACTCTCCAGGAGGTAGCCATATCATTAGTCAAGTCTACCATAAAGAGAAGACTTCACGAGAGCAAATACAGAGGGTTCACCAGACGGTGCAAACCACTCATAAGCCTCAATAATAGAAAGGCTAGATTAGACTTTGCCAAAAAACATCTAAAAAAGTCATCTCAGTTCTGGAACAGCATTTTTTGGACAGATTCAACCTGTACTAGAATGATGAGAAGAAAAAGTATGAAGAAGACTTGGAAAAGCTCATGTTCCAAGAAGACATGGAACAGCGTATAATACCAGAAAAACAAGTAACAAGACAGATGAGAACAGCTCAATAAGCCTGCCCTTTGGTGGGTCCCCGCTCAGATCTAAAGCTGTTTTTAGCTCATCATGTGCCATTACAGAGAGAACATCTTTGAAGCATATCAGACTGGTCCCACCCATACGGGCAGTCCATATCCGAAATGCCAGCAAGTTTTTTTTTGTTTTTTTTCCTAGCCTATATGGGCATGCATGGCTTCCAATAGCACTGGGTCTTTTGTGTTAATTGATGATTTAACAGAAGACAGAAACAGCCAGATGTATTCTGAAGTGTATAGGGATATATTGTCTGCTCAGATTTAGCAAAATTTAGTGAAGTTGATTGGACTGCACTTCACTTGCAGATGGAAAATGACCCAAAACAAACACAAAAGACACACAGGAGTATTTAAGGCAAAGAAGTGGAATATTCTGCAATGGCTGAGTCAATCACCTGATCTCAACCCGATCAAACATGCATTCCACTTGCTGAAGACAAAACATAAGGCAGAAAGACCCACAAACAAACAACAACTGAAGACATCTGCAGTAAAGGCCTGGCAAAGAATCACAAGAAAGAAACCCAGCCTTTGGTGATGTCCATGCATTCCAGGCTTCAAATAGTCATTCTCTCCAAAGGATTTTTGACAAAGCATGGACATAACTTTTTATTTATGATTGCATTAAGTTGTCTAATTGCATTTGAACCCCTGAAATAAGGGGGCTGTGTATGAAAATGAGTGCAATTCCTAAACATTTCATACAAATATTTTTGTTCAACCCCTTGAATTACAATTGAAAGTCTGTTTTTTCAGTTGCATCTCGGTTGTTTCATTTCAAATGTGGTGGTATACAGAGCCAAAATGTGAACATCTCTTCCGGAATCTCTGCAATACTCAGTTTAGCAAATAAGCCCCAATAATGCACAAATCATTAAACTCTCATATCTAAAGTTGTGTTAGATCCTCGGAAAAGTCTCTTTTTTTTAGCTTATAAGAAAGGTGCATTGAGTTGCCAAAACACACGTCGAGAGGACTCTACATTGGGTTTTAGGCAG